TGATACTCCCAAAGGAGTCTGAGGGCCTGGGAATATCGCTCATCTGATGTGTTCGATCGGATGGATGTTGCGGTCGTTGGCGATGCCAATGCGCACACCCGGTGATCGGGGTTCCGATCGGACGTGTGAAGATCGAGTGAAGTTTTGATGATCCGATCTATGACGCGATCATGTCCCACGTCTCGATCGCGAGGAAAAAGGAACTCTGTGATCCAGGGCTGTTCAGCGAGTTGTTCGAGCGGTGGAGATCGTGTAAACTGATATATATATATATAGATCTATATACACATTTGTAGCATATGTACATATATGTGCTATATACCTGTGAATATACACATACGGCGCGCATCGGTTTAGGGTTTACGGGCTTCTTCATGCTGAAAAAGGGTAGGGTTTGGGGGCGCCCGGCGCGCGCATCGATTTAGGGTTTAGAGGTAGGCGATTGCACGAGTCCTCATGCAAAGAAAGGGGTTTGGGTTTAGGGTTTAGGGTTCAGCGTTTGCCCATCTCGCCATGGGTGCAATGTGCTGCGGGTGCGACGTGCTGCGGGGAATGTGGCCGGGCGAGCTCCAATCAAGCCTGTGTTAAAAGTAAAGAGTTTTTGGGTTTTGGGGGTTTGCCGACCCGCGCTCACAGTTTGATGTTGAGCTGTCTTGGCGACTCATGATGCTTTTTCCTCTGCCGTTCTCCTCTGCTGCTCGATGGGGTCCCCTTTTTGCTGGTGGTGTGGTCGGGTCCGCTGCTGGTGTGGTCTCCTGGTGTGCGCGCGATGGTGCAAGTGGTCAAGATGGCCAGAATGACCCAGATTACCAAGATGGCCCCCGACCCGAAATTTCTCTCGACCAAGATGACCGCGTCATCTTGCTCCCCCTACAAAGCTCCCCGTGCAAAATGACCAAGATGACGTGTGGACTTGCCACCAATTCAGCGTTTACTCCCCGACCAAGATGGCCAAGATGACGCGTCATCCTGCCCAGCATGACCGCTCTTGATTCCCGGCACACTGCAACAGTAGCCAATAGATGCCAATAGCTTCGCACCGAAAACAGCTGCAGCCATACCTCTCCAGAACACATTGCCCCTCTTGCCACATAGTGTGCTAGCTGTGCAGCAGCCGCTGGGTGGGAAATCGATTGTAAGTAACTGCATGCTGAAGCAAACACAGCGTGCAGGTCCAGGCCCTATGCTTGGAGAGAGGGCCAGCCTATGAAAAAGTGGGTACATACATGACTAGAGCAAGACTTACATACATGCCGCGCATTTACTGCGAACGCGTGTTTGTATGGTTAGCCATATATAGCACATGCCGAAATTTTGATAACATGTATCAACTGCTTACTTAAAGTACATTTTCTCACGGAAACCACTAGTGCAATCCGGCGGTGTATACACACAAGAGCAACTCATCAGGTCTATATGGAATCAGCGTTGTCATAGGAGCAGATGTGATATGAAGTACTGCATGTAACCGTATTCAATGTCTGTTGCATTTATCTCCATATGTATATCCTTATGTTCCTGCCCATTTGTGTTGAGGTTTATCCGCAATATTGCACAGATGCACATATGTGGAAGCACATGTACGTACAATCAACATACATTTGGACACATCTATGACATTATTTGATTTAATTAGAATCTATGACTACATGGGTACATACATGAAGAATGCCAGATCCGTGCACAAGCTGCATCATACTCGCTCTGAACGTATAGAGACATGTACACGGATGCCATACTTTGTTACCGGTTCGTAGGTAAGAACGGCCGGAAAGGATCAACACGTACATTAGTATGGAACTAGCATTGCAGAGACGACTTCCATGTGGTGCTTTTGCTCCAAGTTGGAGATTGCAGCGAATAGCAAATTACATGTCCATTGCAATTTTCTCGTGAACCGCACCGGACAGGAAGACCACATGATGTCCAGATTTATTGTGCGGGAGCAATGCCGTGCAACAACAAAAGAAGCACAACCGCGGAGCAACAGGTATCCAACCAAAGCCAAAAACACGAGAACAGCAAAAGATACAAAAATACAACAGCAACATTCAGCCGTATGTTTCGGATAACTTTCGGACGTTTTTTTGTAGCGGTTTTAGTTGTGTTTGGTGTGTTCTGGTTTTGCAATGTTTCAGATGCTGTATAGGCTTGGTTCTTAAATTGATATGTTTTCTTCATGAGTATATGCATTCTCGTAATCTAGTGCGAAATAGCTTTATCGCCGCTATTGCCCCTTCCCCATATATATATATACACAGATGGAGATATATGGATCAAAATAATATAGAGGATTGAAATATAGATAAGTGTGGGTCAACTGGGGCATATAATATAGTTACATATATATATATATACACATGTATGTGTGTGTGTGCCGCAGGCATGCTTTTGCTTTGTATGACGCGACGAGACTGCGTATGGAAGGATTGATGTGGTGATTGCTCGATCGGAAGGCTGTGACTTCTCAATGAATCTGTTATTCTAGGTCCTTCAAAAAACAACATAAGCAAAAACTAGGAGGTGGATATTCCATATAAATCTCCCTAATGAAGCCCAATACGGTAGGGATATCCTTGTAACATGCTTATGTGTATGTCCTTTTTGCGCCCCCCCCACTTTGCAGGCATTCTGGATTGTGGATTGTTGCGAAATGCTCAATTCCCGGGACGTAGCATTCCAGAATGCAGATGGTTGATTGTGGGTGGATGGTGAAATCGTGCGACATGGGGCTTCGCCACTTGTGCCAACTCTGCAGCCAGCAAACTGGCCAAACTGCAGTCGAGCTTGAATTTTTTGCATGCGGAAATACTGAAAGGACTACATGAGCTTGTTACAAGTAGAGGAACTCCCTTGCGTACTGTCAAGGGATAAAGCATCTTCTGATGTTTCTCTGACATGGGGTTGAGAAGAGTTAATGTGCCTCGAGTGCTGGAGCATCCATTGTGACAATATGTTTACGTATGTTTTTTTATCAATGGCAGGAACGGTTGGTGTCTCGGTCGGCCGGCTTGACAGAGGGAGACGAATCTCCTCGCAAGGACTTTTTGAGTTGGTTCATGTGCATAATTAGGGTTAGGAGTGGCAGGCTTGATTAGCATTGAGTGTTGGCTCTCATGCCCCTGCTGCAGGAGGGCGTGGAGATCATGAATCTTAAGGCAAGGCAGATCGCGCACGAGGCAGAGCATGTTTCACCGCACGGTGATAGCTTTGCGACACGCAGCCTGTAAAATCTGATGCTTAGGCTCGGGGCGTAGAGAGCCCCGTGTCTAAGGGCTCCTCGCAACCTGGTCGCATCGGTTCTGATAGAAATGGTGGCTGACACTGGAAGCGAGTTGACAGCGGGCACAGTGCGGGCACGACGGTCGACGTCGCATTTTTGTTTGTTGCGCCCAGGAGCTTCCTTGCATCCCCTCGGTGTCTTGGGAGCAACCCAAGCGGCTAATTACATTGGCTGATGAGTGACATACCTTACCTTCATCCGGAATGAGCATGAACATCCAAGGTTTGCCCTAACGGGCACATCTATCACCAGTTCGCCGTGGGTGCCGCCTGTGGCGGCAGCTTCGGCACAGAGCCTTGCCAAAAGCTTAGTCGCTTAGGGCGCTTTCGGTTGTGGATGACGGTCTTCTGGCGGCAACATGTCGACACAACATTTGGCGGAAAAGGGTCCTCTGTTTTTGGTTCAGTTGAATTGATAATGCCCGGATATCCCGGATCAAAGATCTGACCAGCCAACGGTCCTAAGCATCTCGTGTGTGGCAGTATGGGACGTCTTGCATGACACGGTTTCAGAAGCTGTTTTGTTTAGTTAATACGATGGCGCCTGCGTGCCTTCAGCCAGACTTCAACACCCTCCCCCCGTAGCTAGAGTCTATAACTACAGCAAGGAAGTACAGACACGCTAACTGCTCGTGCCTATTCAATTGATGGTTCCCGCGCAAACTCATCTAGCTAGCTCCGTTGGCTTCGTTTGCTTGTTCAACAGGTCTGGAGATGTGTCGCCATCGAAGGTCGAGTCGCCACGAAAGGCGCGTGAGGCGACTGAGCTTAGTCAAGGTAAAGCCTCTCCTGAAAATTAGCTGGCCATCTGTGTTTGAGCACATGCGTCGGGGGTTTAGGGATTTAGCGAAGATGACAGAAGCAAGGTGTCGAGTGACGTGCGGATGCTTTCCGATTGGCGTGCTGGATAGAAAGACTCCTGGTATCCGGCATTGTAAATCTGCTAGAAGAGATGGCCTTGTGAAGCTGCAAACCCTGCAAGCTGCTTGAATGAGCTACGACAGGTAATCCTTGGGCAGGAAGCCGTGCCTTGTCAGTCAAACACTCCACAGAAGCGGCAGTGCTCACCCCAGGGCTCAGATTATCGTGACAGAAGGGTCAGAGGAGCCCATCGAGTGTACTTATGTGATTATTCTGCCGGCAGTATTCACACTGCATGCGCGATTGGCAAGCTGTCGGCACTTGTGGCTGTTGTTCGCTGTTTCTTGAGGAAGTGCGACGCCGACTCCAGTGGAGAGAAGAGCTTGATAGGCTTGCACTGGAACCACCTCTCTCTGTCTGGCGGTCCTGTCCTCCATGTTTCCCACTGCTTTACCAATGTTCTCCATTTCCTCTTTGCCGTCACTCTACTCCTTGTGATCCAGAGGAACCTGCGCCGACTCATGACAGATGTAGAGCTGGGTCGAGACCCGGTGATGAAGCACCATGGGCACAAGAACCCTGGATGGCAGTCCGCTCTACCGTGCAGTGACCCCAAGACACGAGACCTGGTGCCATGCATCAGCCCAGGATGGTGTGCGACCAGCAGCTCGGGCACAATTCATAATTTTCGCTTCCTGCTCTGCAGGGGATGCGGCTGTTGTTGGCAGCTCCGTTCGCAGCATGGAGGGGCAGCTGTCGGAAAATCGCAGATTATTAGATTCTGGCAGTGGCTCATGTGTGGTCCTTTTTCTTCGCCTATCTTCTGAAGCCCCCTGAGCAGCACAACAAGGTTCGATCGACTCTATGGCTGGTTCAAAGATGCAGGAGACAAGGAAGTGGCCAAGGACTTCCCCCCCTAGCCTGCTAGGCCCGCTGCTAGGCAATAAGGTCTTCTGGAGAAGTAGCTTCCAAAGTCTTGTTTCGCAGGAGCAGGAGGGACCTGCATTCGTCCGCTACGATCCAGCTAAGCCCGTCATGGCCGGGTCAACTAGAGGAATACCAAAGGCATCCGAGCCTTTGTGACCTGCTTGCAAGATCTTTCAGAGCAACATTATGAACATGCCATTCACATCGCACATAGACTGGCGCGCAGTCTTCCGGTGTAGCAGCACTTGGCTGAGTTTTGTGATAGGCAGTGGCATGTAAATGTTGGCATAAGGTTTGTGAGAGATCGACGTTGAAGCTGAGAACTTCGCTCCTCGGAAGGTGAAGTTGTCATGAGAGCAGGCGAGATCGACATGCCAAACACTTTATGTTCGTGCCGTCGTTGTTGATGTTCCAGTTCTGCCAGTAAAAGAGATTCAATCGGTTGCTTTCGCTCCATCCCAGGTCCCAGAAAATCGGCGGCGCCTTTGGCGCACCAGCTGCGTACTTCTGCGCCCTGCTGAGGGGCCCCGGAAGTTGCGGTTTGCGGTGACACATGCTTGACAGTCAAAAGAAAACTGGTCTGGCCAAGCCAGAAAGGTTTCTCGGTTACCTTTCCCGGAAGCACAGGAGTCTCGGAGTGAGTTTGCTGAGTTAACCGGCACAGGTGATGTCGGAATGCACTTCGAGATTGTTCATAATCGCTGTGCTTCGCGATCTTTCTTTGCGTTGTTATGGCACTGCAGTTTTGCGGGGAAGTGTCATCACATGTTATGTTGCGACGGTCTGTGCAATCGGGACAGTGCATCAGCTGCTTCGGCGGCATTTGATCTTTATGTTTCCGGTGATGCCCCCTCAAAGGAGGAGAGCAGTAGACTGGAAAGCATCCTGTAACGTTTCCGATGTCCTGCTTCGTGCAGTCGACGCATGATTCGCAGCAGACCTGGAATGAACAAAGCTACAAAAACAGGCATGGATATGCTTAATGTTGGGCATCGCAAGCCGCAATCCTTTGCAGATTCTGCAAAATTAGCCGGAAAGGCCGTTGATATCTTCGCGCCGGAGCAGGGCCAGGACATCAGCGCAGCTCAAAGTGAACGGGGTATTGCAAGCAGCGGCGCAAGGCATCTGCCGAACGGCCGTCGGACCGTTCTTTTGCACACCTCTCTTTTTGGCTCAGAAACTACCCATGGATGGCATGGCGCATGCTGAGAAGAGAGGAGAAGGCACGAAGGCCAGTCATTTCCAGCAGAATGACAACTCGGGCGAAGTGTCTTTCCAGAAAAGATTAAACCAAAGCACTGCTCCCAAAGCCATGTGCGCAATTTGCTTTGCTTCAGGCTGCAAGTCTCTGAACAGCCACGACTTGGCAGGAGGCACAACACTTGGGCCTTGGTGGGCCGTGCCGCACATGTCCTTGCACTGCGCATCTTGCCGCCATGAAGGATTTCATGCTGGACACAAGCGCACCACCAATCCCTGGGCCAGGGCCGCTAGGGGGCAAGGTTCTTACTGGAAGCGTCGGCAGCATGTCGACTCGGACTCGCCGGACTCCCCGAGTCTTCCCCGTCCTCTGTCTTCTTCTGCCCTACCAGCTTAGAGGGTGAATTTGCTCAGATGTAGGGGGCCTTTACTGCTCTTTCAACTTGCGGGCGTGTTTTTTTGGTTTGCTGATTACTGAGGTTTTTGAGGTTCTTCATGGTTCTTCTATAGCGCACTGGCTTCGGCGATCTTCTGCGTGCTTAGCATCCCGGAACTCTTGGGCAGGAAAGAGCTATGTAAGTGATTTGCAGAAGTATACAACGCATGTACGAACAGGCGGCTTAATTGCTTCATGTTGCCCCTTTTCCTCCCTGCTGCATGCAGCCAGCACTTCTGAGCCCCCACGCCCCCACGCCCAGCCCTCCTCCCTAGCAGTCAGCCAAAAAAACGACACAACAACCTTCATCCTGTACGAAATGGCTAACTCTTCCGGAGCTTGCTGCTGTCTTCGTTGATCTTCTCTGAAGCGGTGTTGGCATCCAAGTTACGACCCTTTCTTATGGGCTGATAAATCAATAGTTGAGAGTTGTACGACCAGGTGCCCCTCCACTACCATCACGGGCACGTTCCTCCCCCTTAATCCTGCAGATTCACGCGCTTCAGGGTTGATTGACCATCCGCAACCTACAGCAATCTACAGCAGGCGGAAGAGCAGCAGCATACTGCTGTGGCATTTTCCCTCGTGGATCTTCGTGGCACCAGCGTTTGTGTGGAAAGAGGAAAGCTGTGTTTCTTGTCAGGAAGTACCTCAGTGCTGATACAGCTCCGCGTCATGTCAACGTGGCTCTGTCGATGGGAAACTGCTCCGGGTTGGCTCCGACATATAATTACGCACTTGAGATGGCTTCCGAGACAGTGGTGCCATTGCCCCTGCTGCAAAAGAGCAGGACTTGCAAAGCTGAGAACGCGGTTCAATCGTTTGTTTTCCCTCCGACCCCGAACCACCAGCGGCCATTGGCTGCATTAGCTTTCCCTGGAGATCCCCGAAAATGCTTTGCGCTTGTGTCGCAATGCCTGGCCGCTTTTGAATCAGTGAAGCAGATGGCGAGAGATCCTGTTTTCGAGCTGCAGCTGCTATGCTAACCTCATCCACTATGACACCCGTTGTTTCACAGCAGTATCGGCAGGCTGGCAATTCATGTGTGTTGCTACTGCATTGATTGCACAATAATGCCAACCAGCAATCAAGCTTGAGGCGTCAAGACTTCCCGGGCCGTCCCAGAGTTAGATGACAGGCGGGGCAGCCGGCAGACACCTGAAGATAATACTTGTCGCCGGCAATCCTAGATTTCCTAGATTCTAGATCGTGTCATGGGAGCCAATGGGTTGATAGGTATACTGACTTGGCGTGAACTGGCCCTGCTCTCTCGCGTTGTCGTGGGCAGTTTTCTTGCAAGCCGCATCCTGTGCCAGGGTAGTGGCTCATTTGGGATCATTCTTAGCGAGCTCTATGCATGGCAAAATTGCGCACGATTTCTCAGCCGAGGGCTAGTTGTTGTTGTGCTATCAGACTACACAGCTGGAGAGTCCGCGTTCGGCTGAGGTATTTTGAGCCGAGAGCGAGTTTGCCGCCACTCAGGAGGCTCTCTTCTGGTCGTCTCTTTCAAATCATGTTGAGAACGACAGCACGCCTGGTTTAGGTAGGAACTGGTATAATGATGTATAATGAGCTCACGCGAATGTCGAAAAACAGATTCTGCTGCGAGTGCAGTGCCCGCGCAACAGTGTTCAGGAGTAGACGCTGTGATGTACAGGCCAGTGGCATCGAGCACATGGTCTTCGCCTTCTTGTTTTGGCCGCACTCCCGTCATCTTTTACTGGTGATATATGTTGTTCTCGAGACAAGACGCACTGCCTCTGTTCGTTGCTGGTGATGCTTGCATTGACCGCAGCATCTGTCTCGAGTTAGCTTGCCTTCCAGTCGCCTCTGGGATTTCGCAGCATGCAGATCTTTGCCTCTTGGTTGCATTGTTTCCTTGCTCGAATTCCTGCGGGATTCGACACCTCATCCTCCTTTGCCGCCATTAATTTTGCAGCAGATGGGGTTCTCGTTTGAAGGTGCGGGGTTTTGGGGGGGTTAATGCAGGGCAGAAGTTGAGAAGAAGTCGATGCTGGGCGTTCGCAATCGGGAAAATTCCGCCAGAAGCGTATCCGGACGTTTCGCATCCAGGAGGATCGCGTGAGGGTAGTGCAACGTATGCTGATGCGGGGGATTGTATATAGGCTCTTTGTGGTCCTGGAATGCGGTAAGTAAATCATATTGAATTTGAGGGTTGTGGTTCCCATCAGGCTTTGTAATCGTCTGGACCGGCCCTCGGAAGGAGCAACGCAAGTGAATCGGTACATAGACAGAGAGTGAGAGCAGACAGCGAGAGAGGGAGAGAGCACTAGCGCTTTGGGAAGGTTGTTGCATGTAGTTGGGACATGGGGAGGACCCCTGCTGGACTGGGCCTCGGCCCAAAAACCGGGTGAGTTAAATGTGCGCCGGGGATGTCACAAGCCCTTGGACCAGAGGACAGCACGAAAGCAAGGAAGGCGCACAGATGCGCAGATGGGGTTGCGCGTATTGTATTGTTGCTACACACCAGGGAAGGAAGTGAGACAGCGCGGCCTTGCAAGGTTAAGGGAAGCCATTTCATTGGCTCGTGTAAGTCGGAGTGCCTTGGCCTGGCGACTGGACTCGCAGTGGCCTCGCTAGACGTTCTCGGGAAGCCTCGCTTCGTACGAGCCCTCAGCAAGCAGCAAGCAGACAGCAGCCTTGCAATGGCAAGGGGCAAGGCAGGAGGGGGGTGGACGAAGAGAAGCTGCTGCATCTGCTTGCTATCTGCTATCCAAGCAGCCCGGCAAGAGAAGTGGAGAGAGACGGCTAAAAGTCGAGGCCGAAGATATAAAGAAGAACACGTTTGCAGGCAAGTGCCAAGGCGCCTGCGGGTTTTCGTGGCGAAACCGTGTCTATAGCTCATCAGCACCTGGAAGTAGCAAGAAGCAGAGGGCCGCATAACCCTCACGAGGCATTCATCTGAATTTGGCGGGTTTCGTGTCGACTGTTCGAGGAACTTTCTAGAGTGAGAAGATTTGCAGTTTTGCATTCTTCATTTTCAGGTGGTTGATGTGAGTATAAATCTACAGAAGCGCTGGCCACCAGAAGGTGAGACAGGGACGTGTGGTCAAGTATGTTGAGATGAGATGATCTGATATGAAGCCCTTTTCGCCTTATGACATTGAGTTGAGGCTACGCTGCCTGACACCCACCACTGCTTAACCGGATATCATCCCTTGAAGATTCAAGTCCGGCCTTGAAGCTGAAGGTCAAGACCTTGACCGGCAAGACAATCACTTTGGATGTGGAGGTGAAGCTGAGTGCGCTACAACATGGTGCAATGTCCATTTGGCTTCAGACTGTCGCAGTTGATGTCGTAAGTGCAGTGGGTGTCTTTGCGTGCGCATTTTGCGCCGGGCTTCGTCGGCAACTCCGCAATCTGCAGCTTAAGGAGTCATAAATAGGCTTCCACTTGCATACGTTTCTTATGCATCACAGGCATCTGACACCATCGACAACGTGAAGGCCCGCTTCATTGGCTTCTTTCTTTTGCTGGTGTCGGCTACACAGGACGGTCAGTTCAGGCGAAGATCCAAGACAAAGAGGGTATCCCGCCGGATCAGCACCAAGCTCGGACCGGATCGTGATCTTATCATGGACTCCCAATTCGCTCGCAAAATGCTCGCAGGTTGTGATTATGCAGGCACCCTGTCACATGCGTGTTCTTCTCTGGCAGGAGGCTTAGGCCTAAGCCTAGGCCAACTTAGATTCAGCTGTAGCGGGGGCACGGGTTAGTCATGGCCACAACATGGCGCGCTGGTGATATCTTGACTGCTTCTCGTGTCGGGTACGCTGGAGTTGCTGGAGTCACGTCGCAACATGCATCATCCGGGAGTCCTGTCAGAGCCGAGATAGCATTGAATCAGGACAAGAGCAGGCTTCAGCTTCGGAGGCATGCCAGTCCCGGAAAAGAGAGATCTTTTAAATTCAGCGACTGCGCAGTCTCCGAGAACAGCCCCACGAATGCATACTCACCTCGAAGTGCAGCCATCGTTCCTGGATTCTCGCGAGGGTCAAGCCCTCTACGAGGACTGCGGGCAGGAGAGCTCATGTCTGCAGTCCGGGAAACCGAACGGTCCGAGCAAAGCCTTCGAAGCGATCAGAGTGCTGCCATGGCAGCCATGGCTTGGCCATTTCAGCGCGGGCGCGACGAGTTGATCCACGGGGCATCGCCTTTCACAGCACGGTCAACCAGTCCTTTCCGATCTAAACGAGAGAGCCGCTTCAGTGGAAACTCGGGAAACCATGTAGACCATGGAGACAAGCAGAGCTTAGTTGTCTTGGCTGCCACTGCAGCAGCAGCGGCAGAGGAAGAGGCAGAAGTGGACGTCTTGCGCCTCGGTGGCGTCGGTCGAGACGGACACACTCGCCCACTCTCGCCCCGGGTGCGAGACAGTCATTGGCTCGATGGCCTGTCTCCGCGCATCGCGGAGCGTGGAGGTTCGCGACTCTTCCCGACCCACTTAGCGATGCCGAAGGACCGACCCAGCCCCTCTACAGGCTCTGCGAAACCGGGCGGAGCCTATACATCACCAAGAGCTCGCCGTAGCCCACGAGCCACGACCCATGCCGAAAAGGTGGCATGTAAGAAGACGGAGTCACAGGCGAAGGACACAAAGGCATCTCAAAGTGCTTGGGCAAAGAAGAAGACGGAGATTGGACACAAGCGATCAGAGCACCGCGTGGAGCCTTCAGCGGAATCACCTCAGCTCCCAGCATGGGCTAAGCCCCTGGACAAATCCAGGGAGAACGGGAGCCAAACTTCTTCTAAGGAGAGCATCTCAAAGCGACAAGACATGCAAGCTTTGAGGCAGCGCCTCGAGACAAGACTGAAAGCAGCGGAGCAGGGCCTGCACTCCCGGTCCCAGGAGGCTTCGAACACGGAAGCTGAGGCATCAGCTTCAGCCTGAGCACTGCAAGCAATGTGCTCAGGTTGTGCCGAGTTTGCCGGGTCAATCGTGACTCTTCGTTTTCCAATGTTTCACAAGCTGGACACGATCGTCGGGGTGAGGAGGGCGTCGTGGCTAAAACGCAGGGGTGAACAGGTGGCACAAGATGCAAACTTGGCACGACCAGATGTGCTCTGTGCGAAATCCCGTGCCTGCTTGCTCTGTTTTTCGTGTTGGTGCTGAGGTAGTGGTAGTGGTAGTAGTAGTAGTAGTAGTAGTAGTAGTGGTGGTAGTAGTAGTAGTAGTAGTCGTCGTCGTCGTCGTCGGTGGTAGTGGTAGTGGTAGTGGTAGTGGTAGTGGTAGTGGTAGTGGTAGTGGTAGTGGTAGTGGTAGTGGTAGTGGTAGTGGTAGTGGTAGTGGTAGTGGTAGTGGTGGTAGTAGTCGCAGTCGTAGTCGTAGTGGTAGTGGTAG